CTACCAAATGTAGGTTGTTTTTTTTTAAAGGCCACAACATGTTCTCTTCTTAACCATAGCCAAGTGCTTTTTATGAAAAAACATAACCACAGCATTGTTAGACACGTAAAGTTTCCAGGTATCCATGTCATCATAATGTACAAACGTCATGTTTCCGTGGTAGGTTGGGTTGACTTCACACACTCAAGTGGATGTGTTGGGGGTGGATGGCAGCCATGTAAATCTTAGTTGGTGTGTGCTAAGGGATAGGTAGTCTGAGTGGGCGGAAGTTCGCTGCATAGATCAGCCTCTCATTGGGTGGAACGAGCCACTCACTGAAGTCCCGCCCTACCACCTCCGGTTGTGCAGTTTTCAACCATTTTCAATACGTCTTTTGCGGTGTTTGATGGTGCCATGGTTCGCGTCCTGTAGGCGATATTTTTGTGGGCGTGTTACACCAAAACCTGTTTCACCCCAGCAATATTTTTGCAAGCGCACCGTTGCTGTGGCACCACCCAGAACGATTGTGATTGGTCGAAAGAAATACAAGCAGTCGGAGCGTTTTTTTCTCCAATCTTAAAGTGAGAGTCGGCCCAGCCAGACCTTTCTTTTCTTGAGAAAGGTCTGGTGAGCAAGACTAAGGGATAGGCAACAAAAGTATGTTAAGAAAAATGTTGGTTTTGGTTAAATGTTACCAAAGTAAACATGTTGTGTCTTGTGGTTTATCTTTTTCAATATTTAACCAAGACCACAGTCTATCCTTAACTGAATGCTGCAGTCTGTTTTCATCCATTTTTGTATTTAAACCTATGGAAAGTAATGCACTATAATCTGTATACAGTATAACCCGTGTAATCATGAGCCAGGAGGTTGTGATCTCGTGAGCTATGTCCTCCCTTATATGACAGGAGCAAAGGAGGACTTCAGGTGATATAAAGAGCTACAAAGTCTATGTATGAGGAAGTTGGGATGGATGGATGGTTGGGTCACACAAACATAGGACTTTGACCCAGGAGACCACTGTTTGTGTCCTATGTGAAACCAAAAGTTAATGTTGGGTTATTTTAAGTTACATTTATACATCACATCACTTCATATCTTAATGTTATGTTCAGTGTGTAACGCGAAGATGCCCAATCATGATTCTACTCATAAAAATAGCCTAACCACTACAGCCACTAATTGAAGGAAACACTCGGAGGGCATAACTTGTCGTAAGATGTCATTTAAACAGTTGTTAGAGGATACACTGAGTGCAGTCAGTGCCTAAACTTAAGCTTACACTTAAGGGCTTCCTACTATAAAGGGACTTCTTGGGTAAGGTTCGTAAAAAAGTCAAGGTTTGGGTTTAAACAAATATATTTCTTTCTGGGACAAAGCCTACAAGGAAAATGTCTCCCTGTGCTAAACATAACCATAAAAAGTGTTTATCATGCCTAATTGCTAAGAGTGGATACGCTGCTACAGATTGTGTGAGCTACCGGACACCTGAATTTCCTCGAGGGGAAGAATAAAGTATCTACCTATCCATCTATCTTGTATTGCAAGAGCAGAGATTGCACTGCAGGGAAATCAAATGCAATACCTTGTCAGTGAACTGTTACTCTCAATATCAACATTTTATGACTGCAGATACGTTTATTTACACCATTTCCTTGTGTTGATAGAAAACAATTCCGGTAACATCACATTTCTTTTTGCTTTTTCTTAATTATGTGTATATAAATGGAAATTCCAGGAGACAGGGTGGCAATGAAGGAAATTCTAAATGTGCTCTATTTGTATTTTACCTCCAAAGAACGGTGTGCCTAATAATAATAATAATAATAATAATTCCCCACCATCTTGTACGAACGTCTCCATGTTTCCAGATAACAGCGGTTACTTTGGTGAGAATAATGTTATCGTAAGACAGACAAAATCCAAGTTGTAATAAACTGGAAATATCCTTTAAATAGTATGGATCATGTTAAAGAGTACGGATGAAGGAACAAAGTGTTTAATTGACCCAGCACCTCTGAGAAAATCCTGAAACTGCTACGGTCGTGTGTGAAAGATGAGCTGCAGCGGTGGGAGATCAACTAAATTGTATTGATATCTCGACAGGCTCGCCCCTGTGTTCATCATGTACAGGCAAAAGGCTCAAGAACAAAGACATCAAAGACATAATAGTAATCCGGTGATTCACCAATGAGAAGAGTTGTATTTTCAGTGACAGGGCCAGTTTATTGCTGTGGCAAAGTGTCCTAAACTACTCCTCCCACTGTGATTTTAAAATGCCTTTCTTTCATCTAGACGATGAAGGAGGTACAAAATAAGTGTTTTGCCATCTGCAATAAAAGAAAGTTTCTCTCTTTAATGGCATGGGTATAGCCGAGTGGGGAGTGCACCTTGCTGTTCATCTCCTGCATGCGAGTGCGAGCTGTCTGGGTGATGGCCATTATGGTTCCTGCTACTGCCTATGCGTCCGCTCCGCCGGGATCACTGAAGTGTTGGAACTAACAAGCTTGGGATGCAGACAGCGGATGCACAAATGGGATTTTGTCCTGAAAGCTTTAGAGTTTGCTCCCTGTCTTCAGTAGGAACAGGAGAGAGGATGGTGCCGTTTGCAGGGACTGTCTGAGTTATGCGCCACCAGAATGAGATGATTACATCTGATAATCTTGCTAATGATCTACACTGGGGAGGAGAGCACATAAAATTGAATGAGCTACACCGATGTACACAGTTTTCACTCTCGCCCTCTCATCTCTCTTTTTTCTCTTATTCTCTTTCACTATGGTTCAGATTTATGCAGAATCTGAGATGTTCTCCACCCAGGAAGATATGCAATATTCCCTGTCATAGTTTAAGCAAAAGCAGGATGTGGGGCAAAGACGCACACACGCAAAGACACATTAAAACACTTCCCCCCCAGATATTACTTCACATACAAACATCTCTTTCTTTCTCTCATACTCACATGCACACGCAGGAAGACACAAACGCGCAGGAATCTGCACAATGCTCTCCCGGCCCAAGGTTAGCACAGATTAAAAGACGTGTCATTGATGGAAGAGGCTCCTCCTCCCTCCCCGGCCTGTCACAGTGTGTTTGGGAACAACCCACTTCATTTTAGCAGCATAATGGGTAAACAGAGTGTGATCAGTCCAATTACCCCCTCATTGCAGAGGCGTTCTGGCGGGAATGGCCTGTAGAGAGAGTGAGCTGTCTGGCGTGCGGCGGAGTTGCAACAGTAGCACCTGCTGCCCGGAGCCCTCACTTGTATGAATCTCAATTTGTTTGTACAGCCGTATCAGAAAGGAAAAAAAACAGTGACCAAGAAGTGAGCCCTCTGAGGAGGATATGGCAGTACCGGCTAGCCTTCTGATTGCTGTTTTCACTGCACTGTCTGAGGACGTGTGCAAGATCAGAAGGTGCTGTTCTCAGCAATGAACTCATGTCAGTGTCAGCCCTTCCAGTGGATTGTTTTGCGCTTAGTTCTCGCTGTGCAGCTTTCAAGGACGGTGAATTTTCTTATCCCCCACACTACAGCGTGTTTCACAGCTCAGTAGATGCATGATTTTGCAGCTGGGAGTTCATCCACAGTACAGTAACAAGCTGCAGTCCTAAATATGAATTCTGGAAATGTACGTTTCACCTGTTTTTCAGACAATGTGTTCACTATCAGATGAAGAGTGAGACAGGACAGTTGGCAGCACAATAATAGTCCCCTCTTCACTGTTACAGTTTCAGTCATGACTAACAGTCAGGACTACTTTACATTGTTCATGCTAGTGTGGAAATTTACAGTGAGTGTCTTCAAGTCCTGGATTGGTTTCACCCAGACAGAGAGGAGTAATTTCTCTCACTTTATCTCAAAATATATGTAACGTCCGCCTGCACAATACAAGGACATCTCTGGTTACATTCTTTGTCCTGTTCTTGTGATGCAGAGATGTGTTTGTCGTCCTTGAAGAAGATGGAAATCCTTCTCTTGATGGCTCTCCCTTGGGCCGCTGTTGAGCAGCGAAAACAAACATATCTAACGTGTGTCTCAGTTTTTTATCACCAGACAACATAATAAGTAAGAAAAAATCTTTTCTTTCTTTTTTTAACAAGACTGACGTACAATTTCAGCAAGACCTGACAGAGAGCTCCGTCAGCAGGAAATAGGAATTGCCTTTCAGGATTCATTTGGCCCCACTAATTGAAACTAATACCTTTCAAATAGCATATTGATTTGAAGAAAGCTCAATTTTTCAAATGTGCACAGTAAAAATGAATGAATAATACAAAATGCGAAGGTGCTGAGATTAAAACAGAGTTGTTGGGGGCTTTTTGCCTGTGTGGCACCACAAGTCATGCAGATGACAGCAATAATATCACAGCGTGACTTAAAAGCTCCTCTAGTTTCCTGGGCTGTTGTGCAGTAGAAGGCCTGAGGTGCATTGTATTAGTGGCCTAATTAAAATAGTCACCAGAGTGTCACCAGAAATACAGTCACAGTTGAAAAGCCCACACCTCAGCAGCTCTGCACATCAAAACCATATCAGTGTCAGGTCTGGATCTTTATCTGGAAGTCCAACTGAATTTTCCCCCAAAATGTGCTCTCACACATGCGCACGCGCGTGCACACAGTTGACAAGTGAATCTGGAGCTGATTGATGCAAGTAAATGATGTTTTTTTTTCTTCCTTTCTGTCATTTCAGAGGCAAAAACGTTGCCACAGCGTGAACACAACACTGTTCTGCAAAGCACAAATTACTTTTGATGTCAACCGCTCCGAGTCAATCAAGTGCTGTTTTGGATAACTTTTATGGGTTTACATAAATAGCCTCTAAGACGCCGCTGAATAAAAACTCCACCGCACAAGACGAAAATAATAATCGTGGAATAATTTCAAAATGAGCCCTTTCTCTACCACAAACATCCTCATGAACAATGAGCTAAAGTCGTTCCTGCAGTCACTCTCCGTCGGCGCGTTTGCCTGATGCGCAGCGCCTCCCCAACTGGTCTCTCACTTTGACAAATTCCTGGACGTGAGCAGGTCTGCTGAATGGCTTCTTGCTCGTAAAGATGATACCCTGAATGTTTTAGAAGTTGCCACATCTGTTTTTTTTCCTCCCCGCTGGCAGACTATCAGTTTTGGAAGAACACAATGGGACTGTGGTCATTTTGGAGTTTTTCCCTTTTGGCTTTCGTCTTGCTGTACCCCTTTCACCCCAAGTTTGTGGCTCAAGCGGAAATAAGTTTACCCAGAGCCAACGACAGATTTTATCGCCTGGAGGTAACGCCACCGGAGGCACGTATAACCCGTAAATCAACCGCGGTCAAAGTGGACAACATCACAAAAGTTTTACGCGCTTTTGAATCGGAGGCAGCCGGTGCTTTGAAACCGAACAATGGCAACCAAGTGGGGAATGAGACAAAGAGTGGACTTGGAGAGGAGCCACTGATCGGCAACAAAACGGCACCAAACTGTCACAAAATACCTGGTGAAAAGTGTGCCAACATATCCGAGGACAACCAGAGGCGACCTGCAGCGAATATAATGTTAGAAAACACACTTCCTGACACAAGAAAGAGGGTTAAAAGGAGTGTAGGCACAGCGCACACCGAAAATGTGGATAGGAGTATAAGTGGGGAAGCGCAGTCAAAAGAGAGGTTCGTGGAGGCTGTCCAAGGTGTTGCCAACTCCAGACCCGAGTACCGGCGCGGCGGGGAAGACGCCAGAGGGGCTAACCCGAGGCAGGGTGAGCCGCACCTGGACACTTCTACTTTTGCTCTGTCGGGAGACTCCGCGCACAACCAGGCGATGGTGCACTGGTCCGGACACAACAGCAGCGTGAGTTTCAGTCTCCCAAAAACACCTTATATGATCATAAAGGTTTTAGCGTGTGCGTAATTTCCCCACACACTGATAAAAATGATCATTACTGTCTTCAATGCGCATTTTTACCATTATTGACATGGATTTATATCAATCTGTCACGGTTTTACGCACAGCTGTTTCCGCGCGCACGAGGGGGATTCCTACCTATAAACTAATTATTTCATCCAACACTTATCTAACTTGAACTGAGCAGTGCATCTTCTCTTTGTGTCCTCATGATCATGCTTTTTTATTACACAGAGGTTGTGAGTGTAAGAGGACTGCGCGCCTGTTTGTGTGGTAGCCTGATGGATATGACTGTGCACTTGCAGGATTCCCTTTCGCTTTGTTAACGCAGAGGAGAATCATTTATTTCAACCAAGTGTTTGTCACCTGAACTGCAAATTAACAGTTAACCCCACAGCTACATTTATGTGACACTGAGCTATGGGAAGGTGAGGCGTTTTGGCAGCAATCAAAACACATTAATTATTTATGAAATAATCAAGTAATGTCTCACAGGAAGATGCAGTTGCTACAATTAATAGAGAGTGTGTGTCCAACCTGGCCCTTAATGTGACGCTGATGAGACACAGTCTGACCTTTTGGCAAATGAACCATGCTTTTGTCATTGACATTTGACTCACACTTTGTTCGCAGTTGTCTAATTGCCTGGATGAATACAGCATTGCAATGTGTTTGTTGTTGAAATGTTGCCAAGCTTTGCACTTCAAAAACATGTTGATGGGAATATGCACAACTTAAATGGATGACAAGGCATTGCAGCAACCACCCAGAGCACCCCCACCCTCACACACATACACACACACAAACACAAACACACACACACACACTGTTTTACCATCACAAAGACAAAGCCATGGAGATTTTTATCTCTTGTTTTACATATATAGCATGCAAAAGTGTTTCTAAGCTCCAGCATTTATCAGGTTCAAAGATCTTCAAAGTACAAACAGGCTTGTATAAAAGAAAGGAGCTACTTTGTCTTTTTACTGCAGGTAATTCACATCACCTCAGTTTGCCAGGCAAAAGGGTGTGTGGCAACAACATTAATCTGGGACCACATCAGAAGATTTTTGTGTCCCAGAAACACTGTGAATATTCATACATTATCAAAAAAATGCAGATATCTTTAACTGGATGGATTATGCAATTCAGCCTTGTATTTTCTCATGTGGTGCATTCTCTGTTTGGTAACCTATGTCATAGCGTGAGAGGCATCACAGGCATTGGCCATGTTGATGCATTGCTGTTGACAGTCTCCACGGAAATAAACCAGGAATGCACCTAATAAAATCTGATTTGTGGGCTGTGTTGTGAAATATGTTGTTGGTTTGAGACGTCTTCACCAACGATGGCCTTTTGTACTGCAGGACACTGTTCACTGGATCATCACTGATGGGCTTGTCACTGCAGCCAGTCAACATTTGAGATTTATACAGTCTGAACCCCCCTGTCTGTGGTCCCAAAAGTACGGGTGGAACTGTAGAGTTTAAATTGATGGCATTTTATGACTCGATGTTAGAGCTCAGGCTATATTAGATGTAAATGACTGATAATAAATCCAATCTAAAAGGGACATTTGGAGGAAAATTACTTCATTCCTGTGGTCTAGGGTAGCTATATCAAATATTCTCTTCAAGACTTTGCCTGTGATCTGGCCAAGATGTAAAAATCCCATAGGGAGTGAAATGAGAAAGATGTGGAAGGTGATGGTGAAAGCGCCAAGGGGTGGGGGTGGGGATCTCCAGAGTTCAGATTTGATAAAGAATTTCATCGCATAAAACCTCAAATCTGTCCACAAATCAGTCCTCCCAACTATTATTTGATTTCTGTGATTGTCTGAGACATCAAAGCCTGGAGTCATAGCTCTCTGGTCTCTGACTTTAGGAGAGATAACATTGATTGGACTCAACCATGGGAATAAAACATATACTGCACGAATTCCCTTTTAAATTCATGCTTCTTAACTACATGTAGTATTGATCGCCTGTGCATGTTTCTTAACTCTGCCCTGAATGTGAATGGGGATGGCAGTATGAAGATTCATCATTTATAATGATGTGTGCCATAAATATGAGCAAAAATAGGAATTAAACTAATTAAAAATACTGATAAATATACTTGGCTTGGGTTGTCCTTTATGGCAAATCAATATTTTTGTCTTTTTTGCCTTATATGAGGCTGTGTTTAAGCTGTGATATGACTATGTTGGTAATCTTTTTAAGCAGCCATTGCAGCACATCCTACACTCAAGGGATGCAGAGTCCCCCCTCCTATCCCCCTGAAGGCAAAAGTCTTAGTGTGCAAGCCAGCTGGTGATCAGGGAGTTATTGGCAGCCAAATGATTTTAGGCTCCTGATTGACCATTTTTGCAAGCTCCTCACAGACAGCTGACAAAACTAGGACACTGTGTTGAAGCAGTTAATGAGCGTCTTTTATTGACATTGCGTCCCCCGAGCTTCTGCTGCAGAAATGACACTGTATGTTTGTGTAAGTAAGGTCCACCTACCATGAGAATATTGGGCTGGTCATCTTCTTTGGCTCGCTATGAGATGCATGCTCTGGGAGGAGCTGGACATTGGTGAGGCCAGCTGTTCCTCTTGGCTAAGGAGTGAATCTCATTGGGTTTTCTGTAACGTTTTGTCTGAAGTGGCGAGAGTCAAACCAATCTGTCAGCTCTGTAACATCGTCTTTTTCTGCTGCGACTGACTGGGAATCAGACAGGCCTCCTGGGCCGCGTTGTCCGCATGCTTAATCAGAACGAAGCGGTTATTGTTGCACATAATCTCATCGGTATAAATAGACAATAAAAAAGAGGAAATGGCACGGCCCTGGGGGACACTTGTGTTTAAAACCGGTTCATTAGATAGACAGCCATTCCATTTAACATGCCAGAGCTGGTTGCATAGAAACTCCTTGATCCATAAAATCAAATGGAATGGGTTCCCAATTCACAGAGGCATTTGACCAGAGTTTGTGGGTGTTACAGGAGGATGAAAAGTGCATTAAAAACTGCCTCTTTTGAGGTGTTGAGATACAACAAAGGGAAAAGTTTCAGTGTGTTTTTGTTTTTCTGATCATTTCCCCAATTCCTCTTTCATATCTGTCACACACGGCTGCATTTTCCTGGCTTTGCAGTTACAGTTTTAGGGTAAGATCCCTTTAATAAAAAAGTCACATGATGCTCGGTCAAAGCGGGCTGATGCATGTGACCTTGCAAAACCTTTTATACATGCACTTTTCATCATCCCCCGGCCCCCCTGGTTGCTAGCTGAGGGGATGATGATCCATGCTGCGTTTGATGAAAATCAGAAGTGGTTCACGTTTTTCAAATTGTTTCCCTCCTGTGATATATATTAAAATATGCTGCGGCACTTCAGCATCTGGACATTTTTAATTCCTGATAAGCCTTTTTTAGAGTTTTTGTTGTGTTAAGTTTGTGATTTTTTCCTGAATGTGGATTTTAAAATGGTAGCTGATGGCGGAAAAAAACATAAAACAAAGGTAATTTTTATTCTACCAGCCATTTTTGTCCTCTACCTGCTCGTCCCTCAGGGTGTCAGCACCATAAGTCTGTTCATTAATCCAGCCCGTCTCAAGCCTTTAGGGGTGCACTGTCCACTGATGTGATTGTAAGATGCTGATAGAATCTGCAGCAATCCTGCGTGCTATGTAAGAGGTAGACTGCAGGTTACAACAGCAAAAACAATTTCTCAGCAGCCCGGCTTGGCAATTTTTAAACATTTGCTGAGAGAAATACAGCAATTCCTATTGTATTTTTTTGCCTCGGTTTTATTTTATGGCGCACAGGATACAAGTTTCACCCTCTCTGTAGTAATAATTCAGTGAAATCCCAGTTTTTACTCCTCAAATGACATGCATGTGTGCCCTTTTTTTCATGAATCATTTGTGCTCGGGGACCATAATGCATCGCATCAACATAGGCTCTCAGCACTTCCTCGGCACTTAGACTTTTTGGCTCACAAAGTGCATTTTAAGCAGCAAATAAAGGCCAGCCACCAGTTGTATGTTCAAGCGCACTGTCGCTGCTCGAGTTCCTCTCTTCCTCTCTATCAGTCCCTCTCTCCCTGTTTAACACGCGCACACACATACACACTTATATTTCACTTTTAATCAAGTGACAAAGCGGGTGCAGAATCATATTTGACAGGTTTGCATGTGATTAATTAGTTTAATAACTGTCGCAGTGTGGTAGACACATACTATAGCTTTGATTAGGTTATGAAAACAAATTTATGCATTTTCTGATTGGGAAAATCATAAAATTGAAATTCAAATTGGGAGACGACCTCTTTATTAATCATCATGCAGATTGAGTTAACACAAACTGTGGCACTTTATGAAAGAAGTTTTTTAATGCCTAAAGGTCACGGCTGATTTTGTTCTGTCCTTTGGTTTCATTACTTCTCACATCAGGCGAACCAAGTGACCCCCGTTTGTTAACATTACGCCTTGAGACTCTCAGGTCCTTGAAGCAGCATCTTGCCTGAAGCAACACAGCGGTTACTATCATGTTTAAAGATGACGGGGATTGCTCAGGTGGCAGTCAGCTTAAATAATGGTTTGACTTGGCAGTTTACAGTGACAGGAATGTATTAGTTGCAGGGGGAAATGGTTTTCTTCCTATCTAGCAGGGATAGAAAAAGACCCAACCTAAAGCACCACACACACACTGTACAATCAATGGAGATGATGGAAAACTTCCAAATACAGAATGACACATTTAGAAAGCAGAATACTCACTCTATGGGTATCCTGGAAAAACCCTCTGAAATGAGTGACTGTTTTTGCTTTGAGCCCCCCCAAACAAAAAAAAGAGTTATAGTCAAAAACAGAAGCTGTATAAATGGACAAAAGAATATAGATAAAATTATGACAGTAATTTAGAAAATATGACAAAATATTCATCAGCAGAGGAAAGGCTGGAC